CCTGGACATCACGTAAAGCTGAGGAAGGGTTGAAGAGCCAGTTTGGTGTAGTGGTTAAGTGCAAGGACCCTAATCTGGGAGAACCGGGTTTGAATCCCCGCTCCTCCACTCGCAGCTGCTGGATGACCCTGGGCAAGCCATAGTTCTCTCAGAGCTGTTCTTGAAAAAGAGCAGTTTCTGTCAGAGCTCTCAAAGCCCCGCCTACCTCACAGGGTGGTGTCTGTTGTGGGGAGGGGGAGGGGGAGGGAAAGGAGTTTGTAAACTGCTCTGAGACTCCGAGTGAAGGGTGGGGTATAAATCCAATCTCTTCTCTCTTCTGCTGCTTTTAAAAGTCTTGGGTTTCTTCTTTTTAAAATACTGAAACATAAACATGCTGGTAATTGTTTTGAGGAAACCATAGTTTTGCTTTATTATTATTATTGCATGCTGTTGGCAGTGCAGATTCCTCAGAAGAAATAGTTTTATTATAGGGGCTTTTTCTTTCATTGATCAGCAGCCCGACATAAAGTTTGAAAAGGGAACAAAAGTGGTGATGGTTAAAAAAAAAAAAGCTTCAAAGGCCCTGGTCACACGGGCCAGATAATTCGGGGAGGAGACCTGGCTCTGACGCAGCCTCCGGCCTTCCTCTAGCCTCCCTGGCTGGTTAGTTTGATCTCAGCTATTCCCCTTAAATAGTAGCTCCGGTGTCAGACAATTAGAGGTAATTCCTACCCAGCACGTGGTGACTCTAGATCATGAACTGTCAAGATCTTGGCAAGTCACAATTAAAGTGGACAGTTTACAGCTGCGTGGAATGTTACAACTGATGATAGATAACAGGTGTTTGCTGTTTTCGTGCACGTGATTCTGCTACAACTTACAGGTGCCTTCTCAGTGCAAACACAACCCAACAGGCCTGTTACGTGACACGTGTGCCTTCAGCTATGTTGAATGTATTGTTTTAGGAACCACCGTATATCATTTTCTCTTAATCATTCCAGGATCTCCAGGAACGAAAGGAGAGAAGGGTTACACCGGTGTCCCCGGGCGAGACATGCCAGGGCTAAAAGGGGATAAAGGTAGCCAGGGACAATCTGGGCTGCCAGGCTTGCAAGGACTGCCGGGCTTACCTGGCCCACAAGGAAAAGAAGGGCAGCCGGGTTTTCCAGGTACTCGTTCTACCTTCTAACGAACGACTGCATGCTACGTCACCACCTCGCTGATGGGTTAAAAGAGTATGTTGTTGCAACAGGTGGGGATAGGAGGAGGATGACTCAGGCTAGTCTGATCTCGTCAGATCTCAGGAGCTAAGTAGGGTCGGCCCTGGTTAGTCCTTGGATGGGAGACCGTCTAGGAAGTCCAGGGTTGTCACGCAGAGGTAGGCATAGAGATGCGAAGGCCCGGAAAAAATTTTCCGTTTTTTCGCTGAAGCATTTTTGTTTTTTTCTGAAAAATTGGAAAAAAGGACCTGGGACAAAGGGCACTTGAGAAAGAGCTAATGTCATCTCCTGCTTCTAAGACGCCCGATGTTGTGGTTTTATTGCTTTGGTTTTGAACTGATCTGTATTTTTACATACGCGAGCCACTTTGAAGTCCTACAGTGCAATCCTACGCAGAGTAATCCTCTTCAAAGTCCATTGATGTCAAGGTGCTTAGAAGGGTGTGGTTCTGCTTAGGAGAGCACTGCTGTAAGCCAAAAAGCAAGCTATCAATTGAATATGGACAGACAGACAGATGATGTTGTTTGATTTTCCATTTAGGTGACCCCGGGCCTTCTGGATTACCAGGTCTACAGGGATCTCCCGGTGTGCCAGGAATAGGTCCCCCAGGCCCCCCTGGTCCAGCAGGACAAACTGGGCTTCCAGGACCAATTGGTAATTTCCTGATTCATTGTTTCCTTTTCCACTTACATTTCGAATAATAGGCGTAGGCTGAGTGCCTTAAAACCAAGCACGTCAGTTCGGATTTGCACCATACAAAGCTCTCCCTGATGAACTGCGTGGATTTTTGCGTTTCCTAATATTTGCTGTGAACCTGGACATCACGTAAAGCTGAAGAAGGGCTGAAGCTGAAGAAGGGTTGAAGAGCCAGTTTGGTGTAGTGGTTAAGTGCGCGGACTCTAATCTGGGAGAACCGGGTTTGAATCCCCGCTCCTCCCCTCGCAGCTGCTGGATGACCCTGAGCAAGCCATAGCTCTCTCAGAGCTGTTCTTGAAAAAGAGCAGTTTCTGTCAGAGCTCTCTCAGCCCCACCTACCTCACAGGGTGTCTGTTGTGGGGAGGGGGAGGGAAAGGAGTTTGTAAACTGCTCTGAGACTCCGAGTGAAGGGTGGGGTATAAATCCAATCTCTTCTCTCTTCTGCTGCTTTTAAAAGTCTTGGGTTTCTTCTTTTTAAAATACTGAAACATTAACATGCTGGTAATTGTTTTGAGGAAACCATAGTTTTGCTTTATTATTATTGCATGCTGTTGGCAGTGCAGATTCCTCAGAAGAAATAGTTTTATTATAGGGGCTTTTTCTTTCATTGATCAGCAGCCCGACATAAAGATTGAAAAGGGAACAAAAGTGGTGATGGTTAAAAAAAAAAACGCTTCAAAGGCCCCGGTCACACGGGCCAGATAATGCGGGGAGGAGATCCGGCTCTGACGCAGCCTCCGGCCTTCCTCTAGCCTCCCTGGCTGGTTGGTTTGATCTGAGCTATTCCCCTTAAATTGCTACCCAGCACGTGGTGACTCCAGATCACGAACTGTCAAGATCTTGGCAAGTCACAATTAAAGTGGACAGTTCACAGCTGCATGGAATGTTACAACTGATGATAGGTAACAGGTGTTTGCTGTCAAAAGTTAGCCTTTTTCACGCACGTGATTCTGCTACAACTTACAGGTGCCTTATCAGTGCAAACACAACCCAACAGGCCTGTTACGTGACACGTGTGCCTTCAGCTATGTTGAATGTATTGTTTTAGGGACCGCCGTATATCATTTTCTCTTAATCATTCCAGGATCTCCAGGAACGAAAGGAGAGAAGGGTTACACCGGTGTCCCCGGGCGAGACATGCCAGGGCTAAAAGGGGATAAAGGTAGCCAGGGACAATCTGGGCTGCCAGGCTTGCAAGGACTGCCGGGCTTACCTGGCCCACAAGGAAAAGAAGGGCAGCCGGGTTTTCCAGGTACTCATTTTGTCTTCTAACTACGTCACCGCCTCACTGATGGGTTAAAAGAGTATGTTGTTGCAACATGTGGGTATAGGAGGAGGATGGCCCAGGCTAGTCAGATCTCAGGAGCTAAGTGGGGTCGGCCCTGGTTAGTCCTCGGATGGGAGACCGTCTAGGAAGTCTAGGGTTGTCACACAGAGGCAGGCCATGGCAAGGCACCTCTTCCCTTACAGGGTCACCAAAAAGTCAGCTGCAACTCGATGACACTTTATACCACCACGTGAGCAGGAAGGAAAACGTGGGGGTGTTACAATCCTTCACTGTTTCATTTCCTTCCCCTTTCTGGAGCAACTTCATGTCAGAAAGAACTCCATGAAATGGAGAGCAGAGCCCCCTTGGCTACGATCCAAGATGGCACAGGAGAGGAAGCCTGGGAAGTCTTAGAATTCCGTCAGTAGAAGGAATCAACGCAGCTATAGAGTGGTTTGGATGTCCCGAAAGAACCGGCAGTTTTTTGGGTCTTCGGCACCTGGCTGCTCTTCTGACCCTGCCTGCTGAAACTCCTGAGAAATGATTCGTGCGAAGGATAGTGCTGAGCAATGCTCCCTCTAAGCCGTGGAGTCTAAGTTGTGAGCAAAAATTCTGCTTCGTGAGCTACTGACATTAAAGTTGTGAGTGAGCGATTCGACTACTGCGTAAATTAGTTTGCTCTGGAGCCATCTCTTCCTGAGCTAAGACGACAGTGTGTGAGCTGGGGGCTAAGAAACTGTGAGCTAGCGCACACTCACTCAGGGGGAACACTGGCGCTGATTAGATTCGACACGAGAGACTATAGAAGTGGTTTGTTACCCCGCCACCTCTTCTGGTTCAAAGCGGGGACACTGAACACCAAAGGCCATCAGGAGGATAAAGAGACTCCAAGGATCCCTGGTTGGGTGCAAGCCGGCATCCCCGAGAGGCAAGAAAGATGCTCAGCAATAGCCCATTCAAGGAAGCTGCTGTCTGCAAGCTAGAGCAAAATTCTGTTATCAACTAATAGGGGTTAACTTTATTGGTTTAAGAATGTATAGCCCATCATTCTCATGGCTACCGTGCCCAGAGCATTAAAAACAATAAAAATAGCCTATGGGAGTCCCTTGGACTGCAAGAAGATCAAATCAGTCAATCCTAAAAGAAATCAACCCTGACTGTTCCCTGGAAGGCCAGATAATGAAACTGAAGCTCAAATACTTTGGCCACCAAATGAGAAGGGAGCACTCACTGGAGAAGACCCTGATGCTGGGAAAGATTGAAGGTCAAAGAAGACGGGGACGGCAAAGGATGAGATGGTTGGACAATGTCATAGATGCAACGAACATAAAACTGAGCGAACCTCAGAGGACGGCGGAAGACAGGAGGGCCTGGCGGGAGCTGGTCCATGGGGTCGTGAAGAGTCGGACTCGACTGTGCGACTGAACAACAACAACAAAATGGGTTTTCACGTAATCAGTCAGCCTAGAACCATTCGGATTATAATTCAGTTCAGATACAGCAAATAGGTAAACCTCTTAACAGTGAAGCTCCGCAATAACTTTCAGTAAAGCTTCTGAAGTTGGCTGGCTCATTTATGTTTTATTCATTTATTTTTACATGCATCTTATATGTCGCCTTTGTGCTGAATCTGTTGGGGATGACTTACACGGTCCCCGGCAAGCAAACGGAGAAGGTCACTTAGGAATTTCTCCAGGCAGGGCATTGTAAAGGGTAACACAAACATATCCTATGGCACCTTAAAGATTCACAGGCTTGTTATGACAGAAGCTTTTGTGGGCTAGAGAACACTTGGTGAGATGCATAAAATTTTCAGAGATACCCCCAGGCTTAGAAGCAGGGAAGGGTCAGCGGTAGTATCCGAAGGCAATGTACAGCAAGAAGTTATGAGGATCTCTGTGCGAACTTCTGACAAACAAGTTGACCATGCACCGTAGCCGTGACACAGAACACTGTCTTCCTAGGCTTGCTACGTTAATTTAACACCTATAATGAGAGAGGAAATGAGTATCACGACTGAATCTTCATTGGGTAGTATCAAACTTTCTGATAAATTTTATGTCAGCAATTTCATTTGCATATAAATGGCATTGACTGGACCACTGGCGTTTCATCGCCTTCCAATTCCACTGTTTACACCCCTTTTGCCTCTGGGCCCCTGTTTGCTGTCTGCCAGTGAATAACTTGCCATGCACCTGAGGACTGTTTAAGTCCATGAAAGTTTCTCACAAAATTGCTGGTCTATAAGATACCATAAGACTCTTGTTTTTTTGGGGGGTCTGGTGATAGAAAAGTTGTCGAATTAATAAGAAAGGGACAAAACAGAATTTATTTTATCAGTATCACTTTACTTCGTTGCGCCTTTCCCAGTGTTCCTGGGGGGGGGGAATTGCTAGATGGTTAAAAAATAAATAAATAACTGCTGTCTCAAGTTGTCTTTTATTATGCCAATAAAAGGTATTTGTTGTTGTTGTTGACAAATGTCTGTTCAAGGAAGAGAACCAAGGGAGGCGGAAGTAAACAGTGGTTAAGTGGATTGTTTCAAATATATCATTTAGACGTAGGGGTGGGGTTTTGGTGGTGATCGGCACTGCAAGTTCGTTGGACAGACCACCTGTTGGAGAGCAATGATGTAATAGTTCAGTCACAGATGTGTAAACAGTTCTTCCAATTCGGTTTTAGGACTCAAAGGAGAAATGGGAGTGATGGGAACCCCTGGGATCCAGGGTCCTCCTGGCCCTCTAGGATCTCCTGGACTTCCTGGTGAAAAAGGTAAGAATTATTTGCAGATGAACAAACTGAGTGAAGTCAGGTCTCTGGCTGAACGCAGCTATTCATCATCCCATTGTTAAAGATTGTGAGTTTGTTTGCAACACAGTAACTCCATTGAACATCAAGGCAGAGTGAAATTTGGTATACACATTCAGGCCACAATTCCTACTCTTTGCTTCCTGTCATTTAACCAGTTTTTAATCCATAAGATTAAAAATTCTCTTATCCCACGACTGCTAAATTTACTTGGGAGTCTTTGGTGAGGTACCTTGTCAAAAGCCTTTTGAAAGTCCAGATATATAATGTCTACCGGGTCACTGTTGTCTACATGCTTGTTCACTTTCTCAAAGAACTCCAAAATGTTGGCAATGCTGATTTTCCCTCAGCAGGCTTTGTCCATCTATGTGCCTAACAATTCTATCTTTGATTACAGTTTCTACTAATTTGCCAGGGACAGACATCAGGCTGACTGGCCTGTAATTTCCTGGTTCCCCTCTGGATCTCTTTAAAAAAGATTGCTGTAACATTTGCTACTCTCCAGTCTTCTGGTACGGCAGCTGAATTTAGTGATAGGTTACATATACAGGTTGGTAGATCAACTATCTCACATCTGAGTTTTTTAAGTACTGTCATCAGGACCTGGAGACTTATTCGTTTTTTATTTTCCCCAGTAGGTCTAGAACTTCATCTCTGGTCACCTCAGTTTGGCTCAGTTCTTCAGACTCCCTTCCTGAAAATAGGGGCTGTGGAATGGGTACATGCCCCACATTTTCCACAGTGAACACAGACGTAAAAAAGTCATCAAGCTTCTCTGCCATCTCCCCATCTTCCTTTCGCAATCCCTTTATTCCTTTGTCATCCAAAGGCCTCACTGCTTCTCTGGCTGGTTTTCTGCTCCGGATATATTTTTTAAAATGCTTATTGTTTGTCTTGATGCGTTTAGCAACCCACTCTTCAAAATCTCTTTTTGCATGATTAATTATTGACTTCCATTTCTTTTGCCAGAGCCTGTGGTCCCTCCTGTTCGATTCATTGGGGTAGACCTTCCACTTTTTAAAAGAAATCTCTTTACTTTTTATAGCTTCCTTGACTTGCATTGTTAACCACATAGGCCTTCTTTTAGACTTGGCAGTGCCTTTCCTAACCTGTGGAATCCATTCTATTTAGGCTTCACTTAGTGTGGCTTTAAGTCGCTTCCAAACATCATCTAGGGAGTTGAATCTCTTGTGTTTCCCCTTCAGCTTCCTTTTTACTATTCCCCTCATTTTTGTAAAGTTCCCTCTTTTGAAATCAAATGTTACAGATTTGAACTTTGGGGGTAACTTTCCTTTGACCTGAATGCTGAATTTAATAGCATTGTGGTCACTGTTCCCAATTGGTGTAACAACCTCTACATCTTTCACCAGGTTTTGAGACCTGCTCAGAACCAAGTCCAAGGTCAATACTCCTTTTGTTGGCTCTGTGACCAACTGTTGCACTGCACAGTCATTTATGATGTCTAGGAATCTCATTTCTACAGCGTGACTTGAGCACAGGTTTACCCAGTCAATGTGAGGGTAGTTAAAGTCTCCCAGTATAATAACATTATCTGCCTTAGTCACCTCCCTTATTTCCTTCTCCATCTCAAGATCAGCCTCAAAGGTTTGATCAGGTGGGCAATAGTACACTCCCACTTTTAAGTATCCCTTAGGGCCCAGTATTTCCACCCATATTGCTTCTGTTCTCCTGGGGGCATCTAGTATTCAGTGTGCACGTGTTTTTCAGGTGACGCTGGTTTTCCCGGAGTGCCAGGACTCAGAGGTGGCCCTGGTTTCAAGGGTGAAAAAGGTGAGGCCGGTCTGCCAGGAGAGCCAGGAAAAATGGACCACGTGGACATGGAGAGCATGAAAGGGCAGAAAGGAGATCAAGGAGACAGAGGTTCGTAAAGCTGAACGGCATCTGCCGCGGGGCACAGTCACTTGAAGATGACCCGTATTGGGTTTGGGTGGTGTTTACATCAGTGGCAAAGCAGATACCATTCTGGCTTATGTGCATGTGGAAAGAACTAACTTCATTTAAACATGTGAGAACTCCACAGATCATACCAGTGCTGCAGAACTGGCATAACTTGGTGCACATATGTTCTCTCCCCCCCCCGTTCTGCCATGGTCCCTTGTCACGGTTTTGTAGTCTGTCAAGCTATTCCCTTAAAATCTGAACCTAGACCGTGATGGCTCTTGTCCATAATGAGGATGAGTTGTCCTCCCTGCCAGACCTTCTGGCTGCCCCATAACAATGTCCTGCAAGTTCAGGAACATTGTCTTCCTTCCTTCCTTCCTTCCTTCCTTCCTTCCTTCCTTCCTTCCTTCCTTCCTTCCTTCCTTCC